AAAATGTGATCTGATCATCATCTAAGTCACAACAATAGACAATCACAGTCTGCTTAAACTAATAACACACAAAGAATGAAATGTTGCCATGTTTTTATTGAACACACCATGTACACATTCACAGTGCAGGTGGAAAAAGTATGTGAACCCTTGGATTTAATAACTGGTTGAACCTCCGTTGGCAGCAATAACTTCAACCAAACGTTTCCTGTAGTTGCAGATGAGATGTGCACAACGGTCAGGAGTAATTCTTGACCATTCCTCTTTACAGAACTGCTTTCTTGAGGTCATGCCACAGCATCTCAATCGGGTTGAGGTCAGGACTCTGACTGGGCCACTTCAGAAGGCATATTTTCTTCTGTTTAAGCCATTCTGTTGTTGATTTACTTCTATGCTTTGGGTCATTGTCCTGTTGCAACATCCATCTTCTGTTGAGCTTTAGCTGGTAGACAGATGGCCTTAAAGGACCACTCTAGGCACCCAGACCACTTCAGCTTAATGAAGTGGTCTGGGTGCCAGGTCCAGCTAGGGTTAACCCATTTTTTCATAAACATAGCAGTTTCAGAGAAACTGCTATGTTTATGAATGGGTTAAGCCTTCCCCCTAATCCTCTAGTGGCTGTCTCATTGACAGCCACGAGAGGCGCTTGTGTGCTTCTCACTGTGATTTTCACAGTGAGAGCACGCCAGCGCCCATAGGAAAGCATTATGAATGCTTTCCTATGTGACCGGCTGAATGCGTGCGCAGCTCTTGCCGCGCGTGCGCATTCAGCCGACGGGGAGGAGAGCTCTCTGCCCAGCGCTGGAAAAAGGTAAGTTTAACCCCTTTTCCCCTTTCCAGAGCCGGGCGGGAGGGGTCCCTGAGGGTGGGGGCACCCTCAGGGCACTATAGTGCTAGGAAAAGAGTATGTTTTCCTGGCACTATAGTGGTCCTTTAAGTTCTCCTGCAAAATGTCTTGATAAACTTGGGAATTCATTTTTCCATCGATGATAGCAATCCGTCCAGGCCCTGACACAGCAAAGCAGCCCCAAACCATGATGCCCCCACCACCATACTTCACAGTTGAGATGAGGTTTTGATGTTGGTGTGCTGTGCCTTTTTTTCGCCACACATAGTGTTGTGTGTTTCTTCCAAACAACTTAACTTTGGTTTCATCTGTCCACAGAATATTTTGCCAGTGCTGCTGTGGAACATCCAGGTGCTCTTGTGCAAACTGTAAACGTGCAGCAATGTTTTGTTTGGACAGCAGTGGCTTCCTCTGTGGTATCCTCCCATGAAATCCATTCTTGTTTAGTGTTTTATGTATTGTAGATTCGCTAACAGGAATGTTAGCATTTGCCAGTGACTTTTGTAAGTCTTTAGCTGACACTATAGGATTCTTCTTCACCTAATTGAGCAGTCTGCGCTGTGCTCTTGCAGTCATCTTTACAGGACGGCCACTCCTAGGGAGAGTAGCAGCAGTGCTGAACTTTCTCCATTTATAGATAATTTGTCTTACCGTGGACTGATGAACAGCAAGGCTTTTAGAGATACTTTTATAACCCATTCCAGCTTTATGCAAGTCAACAATTCTTAATCGTAGGTCTTCTGAGGGATTATTTTGTGCGTGGCATCATTCACATCAGGCAATGTTTCTTGTGAAAAGCAAACCCAGAACTGGTGTGTGTTTTTTTTATAGGGCAGGGCAGCTGTAACCAACACCTCCAATCTCATCTCATTGGACTCCAGTTGGCTGACATCTCACTCCAATTAGCTCTTGCAGATGTCATTAGTCTAGGGGTTCACATACTTTTTCCACCTGCACTGTGAATGTTTACATGGTGTGTTCAATAAAAACATGGCAACATTTCATTCTTTGTGTGTTATTAGTTTAAGCAGACTGTGATTGTCTATTGTTGTGACTTAGATGATGATCAGATCACATTTTATGATCAATTTGTGCAGAAATCCATATCATTCCAAAGGGTTCACATACTTTTTCTTGCAACTGTATGCCAGGTTTGAAAGCCTAGTGTTATTAAATATTATATCCAATTTCTACTGCTGTTAATGTTATTATAATAGGAGTCACCACTAACTAAATAGCATTGCAGCAACAGTCTCAACTAACAGTTCTTTGTATGACGTGCAAGACCGAGGTCATTTAAATCGAGAAATCCTTTGGGTACCACCAAGCTTAACCAATAATATATACATATGCACACATGATATTTTGGGATCTTGCTGGTGAACCTATAAACACAAATATAACATAGTGTGATACTGGTAAATTAGTGACAAACGCAAATATTTGGTTGCACTCACAGAATTACATTGGTAAAATTGCCACCCACGATATCAACAGGTGTCTTGACGTTCCTCCTTTCGATTCTTTCTCCGGACTGGTCTTTTCAATTACCAAAGAATAATTTACCAGAGGTTTTCCAAAACAAGGACATTTATTGTATAAAATAAAAATATATTGCACAAATTGTAATAAAAAGCTGTGGCCCTACGCATTTCATTCTCACGTGAGAACTTCCTCAGGGACCAATAAGTAAGAACAATAATAACAATGCATATACAAAGATAAAGCCTAACTATCCCCTCCCATAGTCCTCTCTATATAGGGCTTATCCCTAGAAAGTCATTGGCGGAATGGTGGGTGTCCTTTCTTCTAACCTCTCGTTTTTTTGGAGTCCTAGCTCTTACAGCCGTCTTCATTTATTGTAGATTATATTTCCCGACGATTTTTTTTTTCTTTTTCTCTGATTTGTCGGAACTTCTGTGACACACTTCCGTGTATTCCACTTCTAAACGTCCGCCAAAATGGCCGTGCGTTCCATCTGGTTCTATGAACAGATGTGTGTCTTGGTGCTAGCTTCCCCTGGAGTTCCTTAAGAGGGAAAGCTTTTGATTTCAAGAGTAAACTTGCATTAGTAATCAATGGATTGATTACTAATGCATGTTTACTCGTTGAAATCACAAGATCCCAAAATATCTTGTGTATATATATTTCTGCTAAAATCGGTTTCCATCTGGGAGGTAACCTCGGGAGGCTTTGTACCTATAAGTTAAGTTATATTTTAGAATTTTTCTTTGTTATTTCACTGGTGTCAGGTGAAATTGTCACATTTAGATAAACCAATAGTATACATTTCTAATCACCTTGGCACCAAACTAGTTGCATTAAGCTGGACAACTGGTAAACCTTACTTCAGTACATTTAGACTCCGCCAGTACTACAGCAGCAACCTGTGACTAACGCGATTTAACACAATACAGCCAACACACAGACACCCCTTTAAATTGTCTTGGCACTATACAATGGAGAATATATGCAGACTGTGAGTATGAACATGCATAGCCAACCTTCAGTAGGAGGAACTATTGCATTTATAGTATTATATGTACAAAATAAGTCAATCAAATTCAGCCTTTCACATAACTGCTCTGGTATTGATCCAAAATGTGAGAAGTGAGAATCACAACTTTCCAGTCTCCTTATTTTCCTTCATTAACTTGATTGCAGTGCATGTGATCTACTTGGATTTTGCCAAACCATTTGATACGGTTCCTCACAATAGGTTAGTTTTCAAACTATAAGAAATTGGTCTAGATTAATATTCTTGTTCTTGGGTAGAACATTGGCTTAAGGATAGAGTACAACAAGTTGTCATTAATGGTAAATTTTCAGGCTGGACAAAAGTGGTAAGTGGTGTCCCTCAGGGTTCTGTTTTGGGACCCCTTCTATTTAACATATTTATAAAATGATCTTGAAATAGGCATTGAGCCATGTTTCAGTTTTTGCAGATGACACAAAACTTTGTAAAGTAATAAAATGTGAGCAGGATATTGCTTTGTTGCAGAGGGATTTGGATAGATTGGGGGACTGGGCACTAAAATGGCAGATGAAATTTAATGTAGAGAAATGCAAAGTTATGCACTTCGGGGTCAAGAATACACAAGCAATTTACACCCTAAATGTTAGTGAATTAGGGATAACCACACACGAGAAGGATTTGGGAATTGTTATAGACAACAAATTAGGCAGCAATATGCAATGTCAATCTGCAATTGCCAAAGCCAGTAAGGTTTTGTCATATATTATTAGGGGCATACATTTTGAGATGAAAATATAATTTTACCTCTTTATAAATCGCTGGTAAGACCACACCTTGAATATGCTGTGCAATTTTGGGCACCTGTTCTAAAGAAGGATTCCATGGCACTAGAAAAAGTGCAGAGATTAGCTACCAAATTGATAAAAGGAATGGAGCATTTTAGTTACGAATAAAGGTTAAAAAATTTAAATCTCTTTAGTTAGGAAAAACGGCACCACAGAGGGGATATGATAACATTATACAAATATATTCGGGGCCAGTAGAAACCATTATCTGTAAATCTATTCATAAACAGGGCTATACATAGGACACAAGGTCACGCATTTAGGCTTGAAGAAAGGAGATTTCACCTAAGGCAAAGAAAAAGGTTTTTTTTTACAGTAAGAGTAATAAGGATATGGAATTCTCTGCTGGAAGAGGTGGTTTTATCAGTGTCCATACAGATGTTTGAACAGCAATTGGATAAATACTTGCAAAAACATAACATACTGGGATATAATTTTTAATTAGTGGGGTAATAGCTGATTGATCCAAGGAGACATCTGACTGCCATTTTGGGGTCAAGAAGGAATTTCTTCCTAGTTTGTTGCAAAATTGTCAACGCTTCAGACTAGGTTTTTTGCGTTCTTTTGGATAAACAGCAAAAACATATGTGAAGAAGGCTGAACTTGGACGCAAGTCTCTTTTCAGCTATGTAACTATGATTGTTTTTTCCCCCTTATTGCATCCATTTAATTATGTAAGCTTGAAGAATATTTAATGCAATGTGAACAAAAAATGGACACACAGACTGATGTTGACGACTATGGAAACCTTGATTGTTTGTCAACAAAGGGTGGAATGTGTAATCATTACCCAGCAAATGCCAATAAACATGACACACAAGGGTAAACCATATATGTTAACAACTTTACTTTATTTGCACAATTAGCATCAATAATATTTACTGAAAAATTACAAGATAAAAGGCATGTAAGACCAGCACACAAAATGCACCAATACTATTTACAATCTTGTTTGACAGATTTTATATTCAACAAAAGGATTTTAGTTACAGTTCATCTTCCAAATATTATGTTTGTTCCTGAAGCAACATGAATACCGACGTTAACATTATGTGTAATGATTAAATAATAAACAATGAATGCATCATCTGTTATACTGAAATCTTTGATCCGCACGGACGGAATAGTCAAGTGGATGATTCATCCAAATTGAAGTAGGCCTTCGAACATCAAAAGAAAGGCGTGTATTGGAAATAAATTAAAATGAACTTCTTTCTTTGTGAGCTGAACACATCAAGTCTTTTCTGTCCCTTTCAGGAATTTATTTTGAGTATTCCGAAGCATGAAGTAGGGAGACATTGTATCCAACATAGATTCTCTGCAATACAAAACCAATTACATGAGTGCATACTGAACAAAAATGTCACAAATTGACAAATTGACATTTATTAAAAATGACCACAGTAACCAGTTTTCCAGTTGGTAAATAATAATGGAACACACTTACCACCAAGAGAGCACAGACACTGGTTCTGGCCAACTCAGCAATAAGTATTAAAAAAAAAAAATAACAGATGCCGTCCGGTACATCTTCTTAACAGGAGTCTCTTTATTCTGCAGATACAAACACAGAACGCAATGTTTTGACCAAAATGATGGCTTTAGTTTTTTGGTTTTTTTTTTGTTCAAAGTGATGATAAAGACCACCTTTGGTCAAAACATTGTTTTGTATGTTTGTGGCTCCAGAATAGATGGACCCATGTTATGAGGATGTCCTAGATTGCTTCTGTCATGTTTTAATTATTTGTCTGAATCAGTGATTATACTCAAACAGCTTTACTGGAAAATGTAAAATACAAACCACTGCTGTGCCAATTTCATACCCTGATGGTCCATGATATTGTACCGGTACAATGTAGGTTTTATTTGTGGGGAAAAAAATAGTTAGAACACAATTAACCCCTCGGATCAATTTTACTAAAATTGTTGAATTAAATGAGTAGTCAAAAAAAGCAAATTGCACATGTCTCTTGCTATAAATATGAACTTCGGGTATATTAAGCAGACATTAGGTTGTTAGAATAGGACCTGCCAAAAATGGGGTACATTAACGTTGTGGCAGGATTGTGCAATGTAAACTGTAACTACACCCCTATTATTTTGCCTAGATTAGGTGTTTTTTGAAGTTGCTGTTTAGTGTATCACAGAGCATTAGTGTATTAGTCAGGTAGACAAGATGCCAAAATACCAGAGTATTGCAGTATTGCTTTGGACCTGAGAAAGAGGAAACCGCTTGAAAACTAGTCTTTGAAATATTATGTTAGTCCAATAAAAAAAAAAAAAGTATCAATACATACTGCAATACTCTGGTATTTTGGCATCTTATATATACACACATACATTTACATACCTTGAGTTTCCCTTTAAGATTACAAGCTGTGCAACATGTTTATTCCATGTTAGGTAGGCATTTTTGGTGTAATTTGTAATATAATGGCCAGCCATGATATGGTGGGTAGTTTGGAGGGGATAAAGCATAGATGGCTAATATTTGTACTGCAGATCTCTGTAATATATTTATATTAGGGGTGGCCAAGACGTAACTGTTGTAGAAATATAAATCCCATAATTCTTTCCCAGCATCAAGGTCACCTGATTTAAAGTATAACTTAAATGGTCCTTGTAATCTTTAAAATTTGCTAAAGATGGGTACAGGTTAGAGAATTTGAAACAACTTCACACAACACTAAATATCTGCATTATAATGCTAACCAAGACAAATAAAAAAACAGAAAAAATAAAATAAAAAATAAAACAGGATAACCGTAACATCCACAAAACTTACTTTACACTAGTGCCTTTGGAGATTTTTTGTGTTTTGTTGCCGACCTTTTCCACTTTGCCTTTCAATTCTTTATTCTAGGAAAAAAGACAATGCATCTTAGAACACATAATTTCAATGCAGGTATAATAAACAAGACAGGTTTGCCTTTTTTTTTTACATCTACGCATGGTCCTCTGCACAGCCTTGACCGTACTCCATTATGATTTGAGGTAGCTAAAACAACTTAAAAAAGAAAACATTGTAAAACTCTTGCACTTGTAATTTTAAATATGGTAATTCTATATGTCCATTTGTTTTTAGAGTGGTATTTAGCAGAGTACGTTCTCAGCAATATTGCTTGTAATTATTGCAAATTACCAAAAGATGGCAGACTTCTATTGATGCAGTGTAAGTAAGAATGAATTAGATGACATTGCCTTTTCCCCTTTCTTTTTTATAAACTGAAGACAAGAACATGTTATGAACTCCTAAAAGCCTCGAAAAATAAAACAAAGTCCATGTTTTTATCTGGTTTAAGTTAAACCCTCAATAATTTAGGAGGCGCAGACCTGTAAAAGGGTCACAATTTAAGAGGTCAGCCCCAATGTACCACACGTGGCTCTTTTCTGGCTGTGCAGATGATTTTTACAGAGCACATTCTCCCAAACAAAAATGTACTGTCCTTGAACCGACTGCTTTTGGATTAAAACTCTTCAAAATTGTTTTTATCTACAGCTTTTTATCGAACAATACGATACAATATTGGAATAAAAAATAAATGTAACAGTTATAATATGTGGTAACAAGAAAGGAAGGGGATAGAAAAGGGGGCATTCCATCCTTATGTTGGATTAAAACTCATCAACCACAGCCAGACAATTTCTTGACATCAAATAATGGATAAAGTATACGCATTTTAACCGAAGGAGCATGGTATTAAATAATTTTAATAACTCTATCTTGTGTCATTCTGTCAATTACATTAATTATACTCAGAGGGAGAGTGGCTGGCCTGGATGCCCTGTTACACTTGGAAGATTCTAAGGATCATCAAGAATTCATACAAATTGTTAGGGTTTATACACTAAACCCTGAATGGCACCGAACCGAATGGGGCCAAGGCATACAGCTGCAAATGGGGATAAATCGGACGGCAACATCCGGACATTATCAATTGATTCATCAATGCCCAGATTTATTTTTTCTAAATCAGGCCCCAAACGGCCTTCATTTGGTCCAGATTTTAGCCAAACCGAAAGCTGACAAAAGGCTAAAATCTGAAACGAATGAATACATTTAGGTTTGGAGGTGTCAACTACTGAACAGTAACAGCTAAATAGTTACAATATCCTCAGTGGCGCGCAAGTTAATTATGTGGCGCCTAGCCAGGCAGCACATTAAACAAGTAAAATAAATAAATAAAAATCATATCATGATTAAAATGACCCGCATATTGCTATAATGGAGGTAATGTACCTCCAATATGCCCCAACTTGCCATGAGGAAGGTGGGGGAATATCTACAAAATGTCTAAACCTAGCTATAAAAGCTCCCATGAGGCAAGTGAAATAACAGAGGGGGGAGACCTATTGTCCCCTCCTCTGGATCCTACCTATGGGTGGCAGCCCAAATAAAATATATAATTGATGAAAATGCCATTGTCTAGGCCCCATGTGGCTGGGTGTCTCCAATCCCTAGCTACCCTTTTATTTTATAATTAGAGTGTCTAAATGCCACCTATGGGCAGGGGCCACGGGAGAGAAGACAATAGGTTTCCACCTACCTGTATTAGTAATATTAGGGCCCATACACACCTCCGGTAGGAAGAAGCGAGGGAAGGGGACAATAGGTCCTTCCAGTCTTTAGGTTCAGATATTTAGTAGTCATGCCCCTATCTGTTGTGGCAAAGTGGCACACAGTTCTTCAAATGATCAATTCACTTACAAAAAGCAAGTGAATGATAATTTGCAAACGTGCATTCTGCCAGATTCCATGTTTCGATTCCTGTGCCATAATTTGGTTCCATTGCAGATATTAGTCATTTTCTGAACGCATCCGAACAAATGTTACAGAATTGGTCTGACTGAACGAATCCTGACCACGTTTGGCTTTAGAAAATCTGAATTGCCAATGCAGTTGGAATTCTTTCATTTTGAACAAAATCTGGTGTTTAGCGAATAACCCAGTGTATGTTTTCATGTCAGGGAGTTGAAAAGAAAAAAAAAGGTGTCCTTTTTCTACTGCAGTAGCTGGAATGTAGCCCGTGCCCTACATGATTACAGTTTTGTAGGATTAAGCATATAAAAACAATCTAGCAAAAAAAAAAAATGTTTTTTTTAAAAGCAAAAAAATTATAACATTTATCCAAAATGAGGATGAGCTACTGGAATTGATAAGCGAAAAGGATTTGGGAGCAAT